AGAAATGGGTGAGAAGCGATGGCGTACAGGGCACCACTGCCAGGACAGCCTTGCACTATACCCGAGAGGATGTGAAAGAGCGGCAGCAGAACATGTCCAGCCATCGCGAAACACAGAACATTCGAATATATCACACGGACGAACCATTTGAGAGGAGAGGGGATAGCGAGGGAGTCAACAACAAGAAGGAGCCAGGGGTGAGCAAGACTAGGAAAGGCATGTGCGAAATCGAAGCTCACGAGAGCAGGGAGGGCATGGGGGGCACACTCACGCATCGATGCCATACGTGCGTACATGTCGAGCTCGATCACATTCATGCCATGGTTCCTCCCCCGAACGAAGCCGCGCTGCAGCTTGCTGACGAAGTTGGGGATCTCTACAGAGAGGGACCAGAAGACAGCTGCCGTTATCACCTTGACGTCCGCGTTTTTGAGCCCAAGGGGTCTTGTCTGGGAGGCTTCACGTATGATACCTTCAGGGTCCCCATCTTCTTCCCCCTTAGGAATGAAAGCTTTTCTAAGATAGTTGAAGTCACTTCCCATGTATTGTCCACTAAGACACCACCGCATCACAGTAGTCAGGATCTGGGGCCCACGCGGGCGATAAAGCCAAGCGGCGTAAGGTCGGCCATCTGGCCCAGGAGAACTGTTGGAGGCCTTCTGGAGCACCTTGGAGATCGTGGCCTGAGACGGGGGCGGGAGGTTCATGAGGTCCACCTTGGGCCCGTACTTTTCGACAAACTCGGCAGCTTTCTGGATCCCCACCTGCTTCGCACTGAAAATCTTCCCCCAGTGTGACGACAGAGCGCCCGGCATCGCTTCAGGCGCTGTGAGAACCTGGCCTTGATGTCGCAGTCCCTGCAACGCCAGTCGGCGATCAAAGGGAGACCATAGCCTAGCTCGTTTCGCCAACCCCCGAAGACGACGGCGAGTTTTCTTCTGGACCACGGCGGGGTCGTCGGCGTTCAACGTTGAGCGAAGCGCAGCTTGTTTCTTTTCCGCCATTTTGTACTGAGTGACGTTGGTAGCCATCTGGAATTCGACAGGGTGGCGAAGCCGAAGGACACCAGCATGCTCGTCAATCTCCAAATAGTGACGGGCGAGACGGTGACTGGCGACAAGACGGCGTCCCAGATTCAAGTCCTGCTGCCAGAGAGCCCTGGAGATCGATTTGTAGATGATAAGATGGGTAAGGGTAGCTTCTGGGTCCTTGAAGATCATGATGTTTCTAGCGTACTGGGCCGCCGATCTCATCACCTTCTTCTGAAAAGCAAGCAAGAGCGGTGGTGACAGCGAGCTCGTGTCGACGTCCAGCGCAGCAGCCTGAACAAATTTTCGATATTCTGGGCGCTTGAAGATGTCGTGGGGGATCGGCCTATCTTCGGGCTTGAGAGGGTCCCTGGGGTTCATCACCGTCGAGACTGCTGCGTGGTCGGACAGCTCAAGCTGGTGCATAACTTCAGGAAAGCCGTGCACCTGACCAGCGGTACTAAGTTGGGTCAGTTCCCATCCTGGAACACTTACAAAGAGGCGGTCCAGACTAGAGGTCGCGTGGCTAGGTCGGTGATAATCAGTGTGGCCCCCAACCTCCACCTCTGCCATAAGCCCGAAGATCTGGCGCCACACGGTCTCTCGCTGACGTCGCCAACCTTGCAACTGCTGCTGAGCAAGAGGATGGTCGTGCAGATGGCGCGGAGGGAGATGCGACACGTTAAAGTCCCCGACGACAACCACGAACGAGTGCATGGGGTCCCGAGAGGCCCTGGCGAGGTCGTCCTGAATTGCCTGGAATATGATATCCCTACGGTATGTGGCGAGGTCGTGATTATGTATGTTCCAATGAGAGATCCAAGCTCCATTAGGAAACCGAATTTGAAGCTGTTGAACGCGTCCTGGAACCCAAACCTGATGAACAATCTGCGGACGATTAGTATCAGGGAGCATTCCAAAATCAGGAGCGACCGCAATGATTCCCCCCGCGTTAGAGGGAGCGTTGTCCTCGCCAGGGTCACAGAAAGAGGTGGGGGCGCGGAAGGGACGATGGAGGTGGTAGAGAAAGTCATCAACTTCAAATAGCGTGCCGTGACATTCTTGCACTGCAACCGAGCCCCCTTGGACGAGCAGCGACGAAATATATGACAACTTGCGGCCGCGAAGCCCCAGCTGATGATGGAAGAGAGCGCGAGCATTCCACGAGGCGAGAAATAGCGGCAACTCCTTCGAGCCTCCGCCCGCCCATGTCTTGAAGAAAGTGTTAGGAGCACCGCCGCGTTGGCTGCGAGGTGTTCGAGAGCGCCGCATCGACCCTTGACTTGATTGCTTCTTTGACCATGCCAAGCTCCTGCAAGTGGTCGTCTGCATACTCGACCGTGGGCTGGACCCCAGGACCGATGACGGAAATCCTGAGCAACTGCTTCCATTGTGCTGAGATCGTGCCCTGGGATTTGTCCGTGAAGAACTTGATGTTATGCGGGTGTACGCCATAAATAGACTCCAAAACTTTTCGTGCACGCTTGAGCGAAATCTCTGTCTTGACCATGCACGGGCTCTTGTCCAGGGAAATGAACAGCTCCTGGTTGTGGCCCATGGGGTCTCTGACCGTGAACCTCTGCCACGAACCGTCGCGTCCACGAAGAAAAGAGACAGCCTTCGCCACCCTCTTGGCCGCGAGGTTGGCGTTGCCGAGGAAACGTATGATGAACTTGGTGTCCGAGGGGTCGCTCTCGATGCGGACCTCCTCGTTCTGAACCTGAAATTGCTGGAACCATCCGTCAAGAGAGTTCCTGACTTCGCTTTGCTGCACCATGTTTTTTTGTCCTGGCCACGATGATGGTGGGGTCAGGCTCGCGCATGAAGTCGGCATCAGGGATCGGCTGGATGGCCGGGCGCTCAGACTGCATGTTGCCGAACAGCTCCTCCAATCTTGTGATCTTATCCTCCAAGACTGAGATGCGTTGGCCCTGTGCCTTACTCGTGGTCTCGACCGATGCCAGACGACGTTCCATCTGCTGGCCGAGGGACTCACAGGATGTCTGCACTGTTCCCGCCAGCGTGGCGACCGAAGACTGGATGTTCTGGATGGCCTCCATGAGGGTGTTCCTGGTGGCGTCCACATACTGGCGGATGTCCCCTTCGCCAGCTTGCTGTTGTCCACCTGGAAGAGGAAGGTTGGGAAGCTGGGGGTGCTGCATTGGAGGACCGCCAGGAGGCTGAACAGCAGGAGCTGCGCGACGCGCAGCCGTTGCTGGGGTACCACTGCCGCCCGTGCCACCTGAGGTAGCTGCACGCCTCCTACGGTTTGCTGGGGACTGCGCCGCAGGACGTCGGACTGCTTCAGCTGGGACGAGAGCGAGATCCTGCACACGCCTCGCTTGTTCACCACTGCGGCTGCGATCATCTCGAGGCGAGATCGGAGGGGAAACGAAGTTCTCCCTGTCGTCCATGGCAACTGCGGGCATGACTGGACGGGGAGAGATCTGGCTGCCTGCCTGGGAAGTGTCGCCGTGGGCCCTCAGCCCCAAGATGGCTCGAGCCACCTCAATGCGGGAGAGTTCAAAGCTAATCGCAACACCTCGGTTCCCCGAACCTTCGTTACGTTTAGCCTTGAGCCAAAATGGCTTGAGCCAAAATGGCTACGGACCTCCTCCTCCTCCTCCTCCTCCTCCTCCCCCTCCTCCTCCTCCTCCTCCTCCTCCTCCTCCTCCTCCTCCTCCTCTCCTCCCTCCTCCTCCTCCTCCTCCTCCTCCTCCTCCTCCTCCTCCTCCTCCTCCTCCTCCTCCTCCTCCTCCTCCTCCTCCTCCTCCTCCTCCTCCTCCTCTCCTCCTCCTCCTCCTCCTCCTCCTCCTCCTCCCTCCTCCTTCCTCCTCTCCCTCCTCCCCTCCTCCTCCCTCCTCCTCCTCCTCCTCCCCCTCCCCCCTCCCCCTCCCCCCCTCGTACTCCCCCCCCTCCGCAAGTGTAAGAGAAGATGAGTGAGAAGGTCATCGTAATCAGATCCATTGAACTCGCGTAGAGGACATGCGTCACTGACTGGCTAGGATGATGAGGAGGGGAGGGAGGAGGAAGAGGGGGTCTGAGGAGAGGGAGCCGGAGGAAGATGCCCGCGCGAGCCCGAGCGAGCTGTGCGGAATGCGAATGAAGGGGAAAATGGGGCAAAACATGTTGCCGGATATCCTTAGCTCCAAGTCCGCTCAAAATCGGTCCCTGGACCCCTCCTAATCTTAATCCTGACCCGTTTGTCAGGGCGGACCCAGCCGCGGCGACGAGAAGTCTCCAGGAAGCCCCCAGAATATGAAAATCGCCATGGAGACCAAAGTCGAGGACAAACGCCAGGGTGGGAAAACATGCCTGGACAAGAACAGAGAGAGCCGTGTTTTTTGGGCCGTCTTGAAGCCCGCAAGGACCAGGCACAAGACGATGTTCGTTCGGAGACCTGGTGGAAGTCGACGTTTGGAGCATGTCTCGAGCGAGACGGCGGAGGGAGCAGAAGGGAAGCGAGGACGAAGAGAACGAGGAGGACGAGCACAAGGAGGAATACAGAAGGTGACCCAAGGAGGCGGATGTGACAGCTCGGCTACACGCAAGAGTGACCCTCGGCAAGAGTGGCATGTGGTGCGCGGGCTGCCGATCGTCGCAGGTGGTGTGACAGAGGCTGCCTGCCCGCGACCCCCAAAGCCGCGCACGAAAGGCCACCCAGCGAAGGGTTACTGCTACAAGTAGCCGAGCAGCGTGGAGGACGTGGAGGACGGCGAGACGCAGAGACTGGGCAGAAACAGTATCTAGAGGCCTCCCACATGGGGTCCGAGTAGATGGGGTCGGAGGATCGCGCCGCATCGCGGTAATGCAACGGCGACGTCGGCGATGCGCAGGCAACGTCGGCGTGGAGAAAGTCGGGCTCCACATCGAGCCGCATCGCCGATGCACCAGCGATGCGGCGCGCTCCTCCGACCCCATCCACCCGGACCCCACTGGGGAGCCTCGAATGCCGCCAGAGCCTGGGCGCCCTCAGGCGGCGGCGTGCCGCGGCAGCTGCTGCGGCGCCTGCTTGCTGGGCACGAGGCTGCGCGCCCAGAGACCCGTGACGTGCGCCGGGTGCGGCAGGAGCAGCTCCTCGGGACGCCCAGCCAGGGGCACGCGGCGGGAGGGGGCCCGACAGGATGCGCAACCCAGGCCCCCCTCGGCCCTCGTCGTCGTCGTCGTCGTCGTCGTCGTCGTCGTCGTCGTCGTCGTCGTCGTCGTCGTCGTGGTCCTCCTCCTCCTGCTCACTTACTCCTCCATGTTGCCAGGCTGCCAGTAATCAAGGGGAGACCACGCGCTCCGTGGGCCCAGAAGCAACTCAGCTCGAGATGCGCTGTGGAGGGAAGCCCAGCGACGAGAGACGAGCGCGCGACGAGAGCACGAGCGACGAGAGAGGAAGGCCAGCCTTGCAGCCCTTTTGGCATCTGCCCCCTCGAGAGAAGGCTGCGGGCCCGCACGCCTCTGCCCGTGGCGGGCCCACCTTCTCCCTTGAGCTGAAGGAGCGTGAACGACTCCAGCCACCCCTCACTTCCTCCTCCTCCTCCTCCTCCTCCTCCTCCTCCTCCTCCTCCTCCTCCTCCTGACTTCCTCGCGCACGCCGCCCGGAGACATCCGCACCCCCAGCCCTCGGAGGCCACGCCCGTGGGCCCCCGAGCGGCGGCACTCGGGTCGCGGCAGGTCGGCCCCGCCCCCCCCCCCCTCCCGCCACTGGCCAGCCACGCCCCCCCCTCCTGGGCGGCTCTCCCCGTGGGCGAGAGACGTGCCTCCCTCCTCCCTCCTCCCTCCTCTCCTCCTCCTCCTCCTCCTCCTCCCTCCCCTCCTCCTCCTCCTCCTCCTCCTCCTCCTCCTCCTCCTCCTCCCTCCTCCTCCTCCTCCTCCTCCCTCCTCCTCCCTCCTCCCCTCCCGTGGGTCGGAAGAAGTCCGGCGGAGGCCTTTTTGTTTACGCTGCGAGCGCGCACAAAAGGCGCGCTCCGGCAGCCAGTCGGCCCCGGCACCGGCCAGCCAGTCGCCCCGGCCCCCCCGCCCCCCCCCCCGCCCCCCCCCCCCCCCCCCGCCCCCCCCCCCCCCACGCGTGCCCAGCCAGTCACGCCGCGGGGGCCCGTGCGCGCACGCTGCCTCTGGCGGGATCGGGCACCCAGATCTCCGAATGCATGGGTTGTTCCACTGGCGCCTGCTTCTTCGGCCTCGGCCCTCGGGGCCTTCCTCGGGCACCGGGACCATCAAGCACATAAGTGGGAAGAAAACTTAGCCCCCCCGGGGAAGCCGTCGGGAGCTTTTGGGACGCGGAGTGAACAAAACCCAAATATGCGACGTCGGAAAGAAGTGGGCGCCCCTGCTCCAATAGGCGGACGGGCCCGCAGCACCCTGGCTAGAGAGCAGAGGTCAAGGCAGGTGCAGCTTGAGATGCATCAGCCCCAGCACGTCAGCATAAGCCCATCTGTGGCGGCCCGCGGAGGAGTCGAAGACAGGCTGGGGGACGTCAACTGCAAAAATCTCGGACGAGATTGGTTTCCAATCAGGGCGACATTTCCCTGGCACTGGGGGCCTTCAAAACATATCCTGGAACGAAAAACTGTTCCCGGGGAAAGGGTCGGGACCTCTAGGGCCGCGCAAAAAGAATACGACCACTACCAGTACCAACGATGACACCATCACAGCTGTTTACTGCGACGACTATCGCTCCATCTATTCCTCCTCCTGATCCGCCATTGGTTCCTCTTCTTTCTTTTCCTTTCGGACTTCCGCTGGCGCTACCACGCGCGCATTCGGGATAAGAATGACCGACCCTCAGGGCTCAGAAGGTCTCTGCTTGTAGAACATCCACGCCTGCTTCCGGATATCCTCCCCCTGTCCCAGCTCATCCAAGGAATGATTTAAACGTTTAGCCCGTGCCTCGTGCTCCTTTGTGGCCTTCATGTCTCGAGTTTTGACCGCATCCTGCATGCGACTGATCTCAACCTGGACCGCTCCGAGCACGGTGCGTCGTCGATGTGGCAACCGTTCCTCGTACCACGCCTTGAACTCGTACTGTATCTTCGTGTTGAAGACTGGCCACCCACTCTCCGTAGGTTCGGCAGGTGCAGGACTGGCTGCATCTGATCCGGCTGGGTGTGATTTGCGCTATGGGCACTCGTCGGACTCCTCTCCACTATAAGATTATCCTCTTGATGGCATCGCCCCGGAGATGCGGCAAACCCTACAGCGTAGCCGTATGTCACGACGTGATGTTGAACACGACACGTTCGGATTGCTGCTTAGATAGCTGGAATGGAAAAGACACTCCATGCGACACATCTTGTTGTTGTTGTCGCAATATTGCTCCTGGGCATCGTGTCGTGTGCACCAACCGCAAGCATGCTCGCTGGTTTCAAGCCAGCCTCATTGGAGAGAACAAGACTGGCTGCCGCAATCCTTGCACACATCTGTCAGCTACACTGGCAGTGGAATGGCGCTGCTTGAATACAGGTTTTGGCGCCCCCTCGCTACGCCACCTTCTGAGCACACTAAATGGGTAAAACGGGGCTGGTGGCACACATAGTCACATAGTAGTCTTGAGCATTCTTCGAACACCCAATACACAAAATGTCCTGACAGTTTTGATGCCCGACCGCCCTTGCTAGCTGGCGCCGTCGCTCTAATGCAAGCCGCCTCGTGTCGAAGCTCCTCCAGTGTGGCCCAACCTTCTGCGGCAAATGGATCCTTACATGCTGGCGCCCAATTGCGCAGCGAAAAGCAAAAAGAAGAAGAACCGTTGATTGAACCGACGTTTCGAACGCAAACAGTCCGCACTGGGTCCACATCATTGCTTCCACCCACATGCCGGTATCCCAACAGCTGCTTTCGTGAGATCGTAATATGAGCTGAATCTGGGATGGATGGAAAGGCATCTGTATTGAAATATGTTGGACCTACATCTGCTCTTGGACAAGTTTCGCTGACATACTCGAAACCCAGATCCGCCCAAGTTGGCAAAATTCCGGGCACGCAAGCCACATAACCAAGGCTTGAGACACTGATATCAGGGTACGGAGATGCCAACTGTAACTCCAGAATTCCCATATTCACCTCGACGATATCTATGGGAAGACGTTGCAGCAGCTCTTCCACATGTTTCAAACAAGTTCCGTCGTGTTTCGATCGATTGCACCGTGAGTTTGTCACATCGGTACGTCCCTCGCGGGCGAGAGCTGTGCATCCCGAAATCTGAATGTAAAGGCTCTCCCGGGAAGGGCGCACGTCAAGCAGACCACTAGAATAGGAAGGCAACTCAGCGAGGCACAAACTCAGAAATGCATCGGGTGTTGGACAATTCCTTGAGCCAAGATTCCTTGAGCCAAAATAGCTACGGCCTGTTCATCATCGTTTTTATACCTCTTCTCCTCCTCCTCCTCCTCCTCCTGTTCCTTCTCCTCTGTTCCCCTTCCCCCAGCTACCCTCCTATGCCTCCTCTCCCCCTCTTGTCCATGCATCCAGCCATCAACTCCTCCCCATCGTTAGTAACCCTCCTCCTCCTTCTCCTCCTCCTCTTCTTCCTCCTCGCCTTCTTGCTTTTCTCCCCCGTCTGTTTCATCCACGCGCTGTCGGTCCTTCTGCTACGGATGCTGCTGCTGTGGATTGGCCACGTCATCCACTTCCTCCCAATCTCCATCCCCGCCCTGCTTCTGACCATCCCCATCGCGCACGTCCCTCCCATCTTCCGTCCTTGCTCACCACGACCGCCACCACGTACCCTCATCATCCTCACACCTTTCCCACGCCCAGAACGACCTCGCTTCGCGCGGTCTGGTCCACGATGGCACCGAGCCATTCGCACCAGCGGGCCACTGTGCCCTACAGGGTGGTGGCTCCAGGAAACTTTTTTTTCTCCTCCAAGTGCTATATTCTGGGAGGAGGAGGAGGAGGAAAACTGAGGGGAATGAGCGCGCGACGAGAGCCGGCCACAGTGCAGAGATGAGGGCAGAAACCTGCAATAGCCCAGGACTCGGGCAAAGGAGGGAGAGAGGAAGGGGGGGGAAGGGCAGACCTGCCTGAAGATACGAATTCCCACAAAACGTATCACCCTGAAAGGGCACATGCATGCATCGGCCACGCGGCCGGGACAAGCAAACGCTACCCGTGACATTCATTGCTTGGCCATGTGCCAAAAATTGGGGCAACAAAATGAAACCACGAATGACAACACGTTTTGAGCCTCGCCCCCAGATGCCCAGGAGGAGGAGGAGGAGGAGGAGGAGGAGGAGGAGGAGGAGCAGGAGGAGGGAGAGAGCGGTGAAGCCCTTGCACTCGGAAATCCCCCTCGAACGCAGCTCCCGACAGAGCGAATCTAGAAAACAATCACGATGGTGGAAGGCGGAAAGCAGCAGCGGCGGCAGCGGCAGGAGAGGAGAGAGGAAGGAAAGTGACGCGACGAACAAATAGCACTCCGACGGACAGGGTGTCCAGAAGTGCAGCTCCACCATTCGGGGGAGAGCGAGGACGAGACAGGCCGAGGAGGTGGAGAGCCGGCCGCCTCCGGGAGGCGAGGGCGGGAGGAAAGAGACGAGGGGGAGATGCCGTTCGAATCGGCTGCTGGGCGCAGCGCGTCCTGGAATCCATCGGCCAATGAATGCACCATGATTCAAACAGGGGGGAAGGACGAGGGGAGGCGCAGGAAAAGGAGGGGAGGAGGACGGGAGGGGAGGCACGGGCCAGCGATGCCAGCCGAGCTAGTACGGCCGCGGCGGCGGGCGGGCGCCCACGAACGCTTGCGCCATTGCGCGTGCGGCGAAGTGCCCACGGACTAGCTCCACCGCCGCCAGGCCTAGGGCGGAGGCGGCAAGCGTCGCTGTCGCGCCCGCGTGCCGCCAGCGGCAATGCAGACTATACACGGCGGCCGTGCGGACGGCCTCGCGGGCGAAGATGTTTCGACCGAATTGCTGCACAGGTTTCGAAAGCAAGAGACAATCGGAAAGAGAGGAGGGGGACGGAGGCAGGGCGAGGTAACGCCAAGCAAACTCTTTCACCACACGGCACTGGGAGTAGTGCTCGATTTGATCCTCGGCAGAACAGCCGAAGATGCAAAAAACAATCCTGCTGTTGGAACCGCCGCCCCGTGCACCACCCGTTAAACCAGGTGCGCACCAGGGCAGCCTTGACGCGCGGGGGCACGGCTGGCCTCAGCAAAAGCAGAACTGCACGTGCCCGAAGGGGGGCGAGCCGCCGCGGGCAGGCTGATCTGTTACCAGGCGAGCCTTCGACGCCAGAAACGCTCCCTGGGCTCAGGGCGCGTCTGCTGGAGGAGGTCCAGGCACGTTCTCCGCAGGACCTCGCGGCATCTGGCAGCCTGGGCGGAGGCGTCGGCGTCGTCGCTGCCACTCTCCAGGAGGCGCGCCTCAACCTGGGCTGGCGCCCAGCCCAACTCCCCGAAAGAATCGAGGGCGTCGTCCAGGTGGAATGGCGGCGTTCTGGAATCGGGTCGGGCGAAAGGGGGGGATAGCAAAGGGGGGGTTTGAGAATCAGCTCACGTAGCTGATTTTCTTGGCGCCTCCCGGCGCCGGGAGGCGCCCATGTATCGAGGAATGGGCCCCTCGGCGGGGCCGAAACCAGCTGCATGCAGCAGATTTCGTAACCCCCCCTTTCCCAATCCCCCCCTTTCGCCCGGCCCGATGGAACCACTGCTCCCACTGGCCCCGGCGGCAGAGGAACTCGCACTGCGATGCTGCCAGTCGGAGGGATCTCTCCCTCGATCGAACATGCAGGCCGCCCTCGTTGGTCGCCTCGTACGTCGCCACCCGGTGGCGGGCCGCCAGCGACAGCAGCTCCAGATCAGGAGAGCTACCGCCGAAACCCCATGGCCAGGGGTCCCGCATGACCGAAGCTGATATCCAGCCGCGAGGTCCTGGGAATAGCTTGGCGATCGCCGCGCGCTCGCGCATGGCCCACATCTCTGGTGCCGGGAGCAGCTGGGCCACGAAGCCGAGCACCGAGAACAAGTAGACGCGGGCCGCCAGCAACGTGAGCTGGAAGCCGCAGCCCATCTTGCCACAGACGTCGGCCCTCTCGTCGAACTTCTCTAGCGGCTTGCGCCAGGAGCGACTCCCCTGCCGGGGCCGAGGGTGAAGCTGAGATATTCGGCGGCGTAATCCATTTTGCTGGCTGCCCAGCGCAGCGCCGATGCAGCGATCTGGCTCCGCAGCTCGGCCACGTCGATCTGCCAGAGCGGCACCACCACCGTCTTCCCCATGTTCAGCTCCACGCGCGAGATGAGGGCGCACTCGTGGAATAGGCTTGGAGAAGCTGCTGCGAGACCAGGGCTAAGTCGTCGGCGACGGCCTGGGGATTGAGGTGGTCACTAAACGTCTCAGTCGACGCAGAAGGAGGTCAGCCGCGATGGCGAACAACAGTGAAGATCGAGGACAGTCCTGGCGCACCCCGGCCGTCAGCGTGAAGCCCTCGAAACGGTGTTCGCCGATGCATATCTGGCAGACGCTGTTCCGGTACAGCGCCGCAATGAAGTGAAGCATGACCGATGGCACGCCGATTCACTCCAACAGCTCCATGAAGAAGGTCTGGTTGATCGAGGGGAAGGCCGCCGCGAAGTCGAAGAATATGCAGGCTCCGCATTCCTGACCAAGGACAGTCAAGCGCATCTGAGTATCGATAACGACCACGTGGCTGACAGAGAACGGGCTCCCACGAATCCACGCTGAACCTCAGAGATCCAATCTTTGAAATGAATTCCGAGCGGAAGCGAGCAGCATTGGCGAGGATCCGGTGGTCGAAGTTGGCCAAATTCATTGGCCGTCCTTGTCGGCGTCGTAGTAGTGGCCGACCTCGCCGTCAAATCCGGACTCCTTTTTTGGGAGGAGGTGGAGCAGCGAGCTGCTGAAGTCGGGAGTATGGCGCCGTTGCAGGTCCCCTCCATCTGACTACCTACCAGACCACCCCAACCCAACCCGAAGACCCGAATTTCGGGTTGGGGGGGGTAAGGGTTCCACATGTGTTTTTTCGATATTTCCCGGACCCCCCCCACTGGAAATCGAGGGTAAATCTGAGCCTTCGGGTTGGGTTGGGGTGGTTTGGTGGGTGGTGACCATCGGGGCCAGCGAGGCGGCGAAAAGCGCCGAAGAGCACGTCAGCGCCCAGCTCGCCGAGCTCGCAGAAAGGCCGCCGCTGGAGTGCCGTGGGGCCCCGGGGCCGATGCACCCGAGCATCGGATGGCCTTCCGGCAAGGGCTCCCAACTTCGCGCTCCGCGCTCCGCGAGAGCGCGAAGCGCGAATAACTTCGCGCTCTCGCGCCGCCCCCCCAAAGGGAGAAAAGGAGGACGAGGAGGAGGGGGAGGAGAAACGAGGACCGCGAAGCGCGAAGCGCGAATAACTTCGCGCCCTCGGGGGAGCCCTTGCTTCCAGATGTCCTCGCGGCGAAACTGCCACTGCGGGTGACTCCAGGAAACTGGGAAACTGGGCCCACCAACGTAGTTCAGGCGCCCCATAGACGTTTAACCTCAGGTCCTACAATCGTGCTGCGCTCCCTCATGCGTCATCCACATGCCTGCCCCCGCTGCCCGCTGCCAACAGTGCCCGCTGCCGATGGCGCGGCGCGTCTCCGTGTCGAGCTTGAATGTCGCAGTCGGCCGCGGGCTCGGAGTTTGCCTCCCCCGAAACAGTCTGCCCTGCCCTGGCAAAGCTACGGTCAGGAATTTTTCGCTCAGCGCGTCGCGGCGGCGGCCCCGGCGACACGCTGTGCCATGCGAGCAGGTACCGTGTCGCCCCGCTCTGCGGGGAGGGAGGCTGGGAAAGGCTTGGGATGTTGACAATTGGGAACCAGGATGTGGATAGCGTGTCGCGCCGAAGAGTGGTGGGCCAGAACCGGCGGAGCGACACGCTAAGCCAAAGTTCCTGGCAGAGCTCTTACCCGCCGCACCGCTGAGGAACAACGAAAATGAGGGACAAGTTCAGGGGGGGCAAAGACCGAGCTGGAATCAGCGACACATCGCCGACAGCTCGGCGATGGGCCCCCCACAGCGAATCCCTGGGCGGGGTGGGCCATCAGGCCCCTACTGGCGACGAAGGGGCGTTAGGGAGGCAGATGCCCCCCTCAGCCTATCCACCACAACTTCGCCCCTCACCTGTGCTTTGAGCGACCCTACAACATGCGTGCGAGAGGTTCGTGTTGTGACGACTCGTGCCTTGGCTTCTGATACCGCGTAGATCGTTCAAGCTTGAGCGACCTTCCTTATCCGATAGCGGAGATCACTCGAAGTTGGCTTGATTCACGCCACCAGTGGCCTTCAACCCAGCGCCGGCGTCGCCGCCTGGTCGACGCGGGCCGAACCTGCCGCATCGAAGGATGAGCTCGGGAGACTGACCAAAGCAACTCAGACGGACGGGCTCAAAAAACGAATTCAGAGTAACATGCCTGCAATTCGTTGAGTGCCTTGGCCTGCGTGCAAAACCAGCCTCCCCACGCACATTTTCGGAGAGATGGCGGACCCTCACGGCGTGGATGGGAGGGGGGAAGGAGGAGGAGGAGGGAAGGGAGGAAGACTGGACGGAGGAGAGAGGTGATGGAGCAAGGAGAAGGCGATAGACATGGGAAGGAGAAGGAGCAGGCAAGGATGGCCCAGGAGACAGGAGAAGACTGATGAAGGATGAAAGAAGGGAGGCGCAGAAACTAGGGGTCAAGCGCTGACCCGAGAAAGCATGTGACCAATGCGTCTTAGGCCCTTCTGGCAGCAGATCCCCACGTGCAAAGTTACAATAGGGAGAAAACCTGCCAATGGTTCGTCAAATCTCATCGTGGGCTAGTGCCTCACGGGTAGGCCAGGTCGCTCAATCGCCCACTGAGCGAAGACGAAGTGAAAGAGGAATGCAACGTTTAAATTGAAAGTGGGGCAAACTCGAAGTGGGGCCTGGCAGCGTCGGTGACAATCAATAGGCTGGCGCGGGTCAGGCGAGCCTGCGGTAGTAAAAGCTCGGTTCTTCGTGCAACTCCCCCACCACAGGAACCAAGCCCCCCTCCACTGCATGACCTGAAGTGCGTGAAATGTTGGGCCATCTTCCTGCAGGTGAGGAGGGGGGTGCGACGAAGCAAAGCTCAAGAGTGGCGCTGCCGTACTGTAAGACATGGGAGAACAGAGCTAGTATGGAGAACAACGAAACGCATTACCTAGTGCAAATTCTGAAGGCTGTCGTGACAAGGACACGTAGACGGCAACGGGCGACGCACCCTGGCATGCCGCCTGTGGGTATGATGTGGGGAGGAATCGCTGAGCATGCCTGTCTCGAACTACGGTATGCCTGCAGGCTCCTTTCATGAACATTGGACGACAAACTGAAAGCATGCCTGCGTGGCCCGAACACCCCCGCCAGACACTGAACCACCGTCCATGCCCCAAGGGATCCATGCACCAAGGAAAATCGGGAGGGAGGGAAAAGCAACGTAGCTTGGCAATCATGGAGAAGAGTAGTATGCTAATTTTGTCTGCAGCGCGAATGGCATACGTGAGGGTGGCGCTATGGAGGCTAGCCCGATGCTGTCTTCTCGGTTAGCGCAAGCTGAACTGGAGCGGCATGTCGCTCGAAATTGGCAGCTGGGCATGGCGAGCAACAAAAAGTTAACCGCGTCACGCTGAGCTCTTCGGGTGGCGCGGGATC